TCCGACAGCGCGCGCGCTACGACGAGGGGACAGCGACGTCTTGAGATGGCTTCGCGTGGCCTCGGCCTCGGAGATGGTCGCGGATACTGTCGGCTGCGTGGCACTGCGCGTCACCGGCTTTGGCACGTCGGCGCATCGCACCTCGTTGTCCTTGGTCGGCTTTGGCATGCATCGCGCCTCCTTGTCCTTGGCCGGAGATCGACGCGAGTGCTCGATCGCAATACGCGTGCGCTCGCTGGTGCAGTTGAAGCACTGGCGGCCTTTTGCCTCCTTCTTGGAGCAGCGCGAGCAGACGGAGCGTCGGCAACCAGCGCACTTTGACCAGAAGAGGTGGAGTCGGTGGTGCGGGCAGCGCTCCATGACATAGCACCACTCGGTGGAGACAATGACCACGCCGCGCCCGTTCTCGAGAGGCACTGCAACGCGGTCCATGTCTACGACTGCCATGAGCTTTGTCGTTGGCGAGGTGGCGTCGTAAATTACCTTTTCCGAGGACCGCCATCGGAAGGACGGCCACGGCGTGCGTCGCGTAGGGCTGGAGCTTGAAGCGCGATGTCGTCTTTGTCTTGACGGCGAGCTCGACGCGCCCACTTGGAGCGATGAACTGGAACGCTTGGTGCCACTCTGGTGTTGTCTCGTGCGACGTACGCTGGGTCTTGCCGCCGCAGGTGACGCGGATGTAGCTCTTGTGCACGCGGCTTGTCAAGGCCACGCTATGCACCGTGACGATGATCGAGTCGAGGCCGAGCATCTTTGAGCTGAAATCGTAGTATGAGCAGAAGTCACCAACCCGCGTCCAGGAAGCATCAGACGACTGGGAAAAGCTGGGGCTGCTGGCTCTGGCTCAAATCGGGACCCGTCTGATTGGCTCCATGGTTTGGTTTTTGTCTCGATGGCGCTGCTGATTGGCGCATTTGATTATGACCAATGGTTCGTCGAAAACGTGGCAGGCGGAGGGGCCTTCGCTGCCGCCACTTGCTTCGCCGCAAGACCCCACGTCGCTTGTTCTGGTTGAAGCACCACGCGAGGTTGAGAAGGGTCGCACGAGGCCTGTTGATGCGTGTTCGGAGACTGGAAGTTGCCCTCGTCGTCGATACGGCGCGTCGTCCCCGATGAGTCCTGGTCCGTCAAAGGATACATGTAGTGCAGCTGGTACATATGATCCTCTTGTGGCACCACCGCGCTCGTCCAACTCTACTGATGAATCTTCGATCATACCGAGCGTCTTGGTGGCCATAGCAACACTGGTGGCTGCCACGTATACGGAGCGTCACCATCGTCATTCCAACGCGCGTCGAGGTCCATCGAACCGCGCATAGAACCTTCAAGTCGTATGGAAAGTTCATTGGAGATGGCATCCGAACACATTCCAACCGCATGTGCAAGGCCATGAACCAGCCTGCAAGGGAGCGGCGGAAGCTGACCATGGAACGTCATACAACCATCAACATTAGTGGAAGCAAGCAAGGTAATGCACATTAGTCCCTCGAAAGAAGGGACTGGGAGAGCCCCCGGACATGCAGCATGACAAGCGTTGCAGGTTCAGCTGCGCTCAACTATATACTTGTTTAGCCACCCATCCGGACCCACAGGACCAGGAGTAGTGAGCCAAGGACCGACGACCCTACGTGCTCGACGTTGCCCTTAAAAGCGCAGAGATGATCGCGACAGCGTTGCTACACGACGCAGTGAAGACGCGGTCGTCGCCAAAGACGCTGGCAAGCGGCCAAAAGTGAACCGGCACATGGGCGCCTGAGGATGGTTCAGTAACGCACAAGACAGAGACATGGGCCCACGGGCATCAGCGAGTGCAGAGGCGAGTCGTTCGTGGCTGGGATCGTTGGCGATGGGAACGAACCTAGTGTATGAGCGAAGCGGGTCTAAAAGTAGGCTTTGGACTACGGAGTCGTTGAGCCAACATGTCTCGTAGCGAGAGTTTGGGTCAACTACATCGACTGACGTTGAATACGGCGGTGGAGACTGGGTCGTGGGACGGGGTCTGCTGCGTGGCGGTGCCACGTCAGGCAGCCATTTCAGTGAAAAACGCACCTGCCAGTAGGATTGGGTGCTCTAATGTGATCAAAAGTAGTTCAATCTTTGTATAGAAATGCGTGAAATATAAAACAGCTAGCGCGGTGCAGGTTTTGGCCCAATCTTGCCATTTCCACGCCCCTCAAATGTCGGAACTGGCGGCCATCTT